CCAGTGTGGCATCAGCCCTACATCCATCCCAAATTCTTCCCTGCATCCACCCCAGCACCATTCCTGCACCCAGACCTGTGGCATCATCCCTGCACTCACCCCTGTATCCAAGTCCCACGCCCATCCCATCACAATCCCAAACCCCAACACCAACCCCTCACCCATCCCTGAATCCAAGACCAGCACCCTGGCTTGGCATTATCCCTGCACCCATCCCAACACCGTCCCAGCACCCATCCCAACATCCAAACCCCCATCCCAACACCATCCCTGCATCCAAGCCCAAGGCTCCCAAGTTGCTCCCAGTGCCAGCCAAGCCCTGCCCAGTTTGCCCCCCCCCAAGAGCCTCGACAGGAGCAGAAACCCCTCAGTTTTCCTCCAGACAGGAAGAAAAATGTGCTCCCCAGGAGGGGGACTCCCAGCCGGAGGGTCCCACCTGATGGTCAGGTTCTCCATGAGCTCTGGGAAGGCCTCCAGCTGCTCCTGGAGCTCCGGGAAGGTGATGGAGCCGCTGTGGTCCCTGTCAGCCGCCTCCAGGAGGGCCCTGGTGAGGTCCCCCAGGCGCTCCTCGGGCAGGGACACGGAGCTCTCCCGGAGGCACCAGCGCAGCACCAACTGCAGCTCCTCCGCCTCGATGGAGCCGCTGCCTGGGGGGCACGTTGGACACTGGGCAAAATTCCTTCGTGGAAAGGGTGGTCGGGCAGTGGAACAACCTGCCCAGGGCAGGGGTGGGGTCCCCACCCCCTGGAGGGGTTTGAAAGCCCTGTGGATGTGGCACTTGGGGATGTGGTTAGTGGTGGCCTTGGCAGTGCTGGGGGAGCTTGGGCTCAATCTCAAAGGGCTTTTCCAACCAAAATGATCCTCCAGGTCCGTGAAACCGGGATGGGGAGTTGGTGTTTGAGCAGAGCAGAGCCCACTCCTCTCCATGGCCGAGGGTGAAAGCACTCCATGGGAATTCCTGCCATGTGGCCAATTTAATTGCTGCCTTTCAGACGGATTTTTGATGTTCTCACCGTGGAATGATGATCCCAGACAGACACAAAGCTCCAGCAGCGCAGACCCCCCGCCAGCCCTTGGCTCTGCTCAGAGCAGAGCCCTCCCACCTTCCAAATCCCAACTTTATCCCAAAGAAACACGGCTCAGTGTGTTTTCCCTCGTCTCACCGTCCACGTCGTAGACCTGGAAGAGGAAGCTGAGCTTGTCCCGCTGGTCCCCGTGCACGAGCAGCCTCAGGGCCCTCAGCAGCTCCTCCAGGCTGATGGTGCCGCTGCCGTCGGCGTCGAACAGGGCGAAGAACCTCTCGGCAAAGAAGGACTGTGGGAGCACCACGGGAGCTGGGATGATCCCAAGTCACTGGATCCTGGAATGCCTGGCTTGGAAGGACCGTAAAGCTCATCTTGTTCCACCCCCTCCCGTGGGCAGGGACACCTTCCACCACAGCAGGTTGCCCCAGCCTGGCCTTGGACGCTTCCAGGGATCCAGGGGCAGCCACAGCTTCTCTTGGAATTTCATTCCAGTCCTTCACCACCCTCCCAGGGAAGAATTCCTTCCCAATATCCCACCTAGCCCTTCCCTCTGGCACCTTGTTCCAACCCCCTGCCATGGGCAGGGACACCTTCCACCACCGCAGGTTGCCCCAGCCTGGCCTTGGACGCTTCCAGGGATCCAGGGGCAGCCACAGCTTCCCTTGGAATTTCATTCCAGTCCTTCACCACCCTCCCAGGGAAGAATTCCTTCCCAATATTCCACCTAGCCCTTCCCTCTGGCACCTTGTTCCAACCCCCTGCCATGGGCAGAGACACCTTTCCCTGGAGCAGGTTTTGTGACCGCCCTGCACGGGGTATAATGAGGAGAGACCTTCAGGGTCCTTCCTTCCCAAACCACCCCAGGATCCTCTAACCCCATGAACACCGCACAGTCCCCTTTTTAAGCTGGATTTTCCCTCAGTCCCCTCCTGGGGCAGAGCTGGGTGCTGTCCTGGGGCAGGACCCCCACGGCCCATCCCCGGGGGGACCCCTCACCTCCTTCACTTGCAGGGCCCTTTTGAACTCTTCCAGGCTGATTTCCTTGTCCTTCCCGGCGATGTTCCCGAACTGCTTCGTCACCCAGCGCAGCCACTCGGCGTCTCCCGCCGTGCCCATGGCGCTGCACCTGCGGGAGGCGACATTCCAAGCCCTGCATCCCTCCAAATCCATCCTCCTGCCGTGCCTCCAGCCCCTCCAGCCTCGTGCTGCTGAGCAGAGCAGGGGCTGCTCTCTGGGAACGGGTCAGTCTGGGAAGCTGGGCTCTCAAAATTAGGGAAATCTGGGCCTGGAGAGCCCAATTTCCCAGACTGACCCATTCCCAGAGTCCTTCAGCTCCCAGGGACAGGGAGGTGCTGCTCCTCTGCCAAGCTGGGCTGGAAGGAGGGTGATGGCAGTAAGATTTTGGGGGTTGAGGCTTCCTTTTGCCAGCAAAGCCAGAGCAGGGAGATGGGGATCTTTGCTCTCCACAGGCGCTCATCCCTCCCTCCCCTTCCCTCTCCTCCCTGGATTGTCCTCACCTCCCTCCTCCTGCTCCCTCCTTGCCTTCCCACCCCCTGTCCCCCTCTGTCTCCTTTTCCAGACCTCCACAATTCCTCAAATCCCCCATGCTCACATCAGATCCAGCAGCAGCCCCCCAACAGTCCCAAATTACTGTAGGACCTCGTTATCTTGGGAAACCAAAGGAAAATCCACATGGAGCTGCCACATTCAACCAGCCTTTTTCCAGCCCCAAAGGTGTGACCCAACCCCTTCTGTTCACCCCAAATGGCTCCTGGGGACACCAGAGGGGTCCTGGCAGAGGGATATGGTGTTCCCAAGGAGGACAGGCAGGGATGGATCAGATTTGGGATGTACAGCTGGGACAAGGCACAAGCTCCTGCCCACACTGGTCACTCCCAGCCCTCTCCCACCTCATTCCCGTTGTCCCTCCTGTCCTACAGCCACACACCAGGTCCCTGCTGCATCCTGGCTCTTCCAGCTGATCCCAGCTCTTGGATGCTCCTCCTGCAGTGTCCTTGATTTCACATTCCTTGCCCCACTGAGCCCCCTGCCCTTGGGAAGCGTGTCCTGCCAAACCCACACGGCCTCGGATCCGGCGGCGCTTCCGTCGCCATTCACGGCCCGTCAGGAACACACGGGGAAGTGTCTTTTCCATACTGCCACCTTTATTCCTTCCTGAACAGATCCTGCTTGTGCAGCTCTAAACTGGGACTCCTCTGGGGGAGGAGGTTGCCATGGGAATGTCAGGACCAGAAACCAGGTAGTAAAACATTCCCGCTCCGCCGCCGCTGTCACGGAGCGCCGGGCAGGGAAGGCAGGAGAGGGTTGTGCAGAGGCAGAGCTGGAGCTGAGGCAGCTGATCCCGGCTGGAAAACTCCCTCCCTCTCCCTGCCTGCTTGTTTCTTGGGAGGTTGGCTGAGCTTTGGGCCAAATTCCCCCCCTGGCTGCACGGGAAGGGCAGGGATGGCTCAGCTCCCCCATGGACACACTGCCCAGGGAGCAGGGCCTGT